ATCATTACGATTAAATAGACACATATTTTTTTTAAACAGAACAAGAAAAGTAAGTTGAAATTAGCCCCAAGCAACTTTTTGGCAATTAAGATTCCATATCATTTGGTGGTATCATTAGGAATGGATATGTGTCGGATTTTTGGTCCACCCGATCCGAGAACAATGACTCCTTAACCAGAAATCCGATCCGCATAATATATACCATCCACCTGACCTGAACCCGATCGAACCTGAAATAATAAAAAAAATTATTTTTATTCAGTGAAAACAGTGATTTAATTGATAAAATAATATATAGATGGATATTATTGTAATTATTTTTAAATATATAAGGTAAATTTATATTTTTTCGGGTAAGTTCGGGTAAGGTATTTTTCACTTTAAACTCGAATTCGATCCGACCCGAACCCGATATTTTTTAAAAAAAAAAACGACCTGATCGTGTCGGGTTCGGATCCGATTCCTATCCCCAGGTATCATGAGGTGCACTTTCCCAACAGAATGTCCCTTACAATTCCAGCAAGCTTATCGGTCACTGGATTCGTCTCTCTTCCTATCCTATCAGGGAAATCCTTACCTTCCATTATTGTTCAAGAAGCATACAAGGAGCTATGGTTAGAATTTTAAATTACGGTTACAGTCGTGGTTGTTGTGAATGAGAATATAACGGACGATATTACTGTAATTGTTGGCATCGCGGTCATACAATAACGGTCGCAAAGGATATTACTACCGCTATATAACAGACGATATCACAATCACGAACCACTATTTAAATCTTTGAATAAGCCCAGTGTTTCAGAAGTTGCCAATAAAAGTAGTTTGGTGATTCGGCATTATCCGTTTCCACTAGCCAAAACTTCATGGATCCTTCATAGCTCCGCAATTAAAACCGGGCAAGTTCCAAGATTTTTTGAGAAACCAAATAATCATTCCCCTCGAACATTTCTTAATATTCCACCGCGTCAACTTCCTTATCAACACAATTAAATTTGATGTTATACTAAGATTTAAAAAGTACAATTAATTAGATCTAAATTTAATTATTTGATTACTAATATATCTTTGAAAATTGAATATTAACATAAAATAAATTTTCATTTTTGCAAAATTATTTTAGAATTTAAAAACGTGAATCTGAATCTTAAAACTATTAAAATCAAAATACTCATTTCATTTTTAGGAAAGGAAATATTAAAAATTAAGAGTTCATCGCATATCAAATTATGTTCGAATGCATATAATTATATATATATAAGTTTTACCTTACGTAAATGGATAGAATTAAAAGGATGGAATTATTGCAATAATTCAGTTTTTCTCCTTTGATTAAAAGATGGACTCTAGGATTCCAGTTTTACTTAATTCAGAGAGTTATTTAATTCATATTAATTATTTGTCAGTATATATATGTATAGGTATATGATTTTAGGTCAAGGCTAGCTACTGGTCTGTGATTGAAGCCTGTTGACAACTTGGCATTGCAAATTAAAAAAAAAGTAGGGGGTAGCTGCTTCACTTTAATGTTGACGATTTATAGTGCATCAAAAGTACTCCCATGAATAAATGAATTCTGTTTCGGTGGATGCGATCCATTTATATTACACCAAATCATTTTAATATGCATTTAACTACTTTTTATATTTGTGTTTAAAAGATGTTTAAATATAAATCTATCAAATTATTTTAGTGATTAAAAATAGAGAAAATAACCTCAGTGACCAAAAATCTCAGATAATATACGATTTTGACCAACTTTTTTTGGATTTGCGAAAATGACCAACAAAATCGCAATGCAATCTCTAATTCGCATTGCGATCTCCACAATCGTAAATTCGCGTTGCATTTCGCGTTGCGATTTTTCATTTCGCGTTGCGATTTTCCAGTTCGCGTTGCGATAGTTGAAAATCGCAAAAATGACCAACAAAATCTCAATGCGATCTCTAATTCGCATTGCGATCTCCACTATCGCAAATTCGCATTGCATTTCGCGTTGCGATTTTTCATTTGGCGTTGCGATTTTCCAGTTCGCGTTGCGATAGTTGAAAATCGCGTTGCGATTTTCCATTTCGCGTTGCGATAGTCTACAGTTGTCGTTGCGATTTTCCAAATTCGTTGCTATAGTCTACAGTTGTTGTTGCGATAGTCTACAGTTGTCAAAATTCTTGTGATAGTTAAAAAAAATATTTTGTTTCTCTAAAAAGATAGTATCCGCGCGGACGTGTCGAATACACGTATGACCACGACCACGACCACGACCCGACCCGAGACAAGACGAGACGGACGGCGGCCGCGGCGGCGCGCGAGAGTTCCCCTTGTTCTCTATCACTCAACAAGGAAGTGAGAAAGCCAAGCCTTAAATACTATTCCCAATAGTATTTCCAATACTATGTGGGATTTGAGCATTACCAACACTTGTTCCCAATACTATGTGGGATTGAGCCTTAAATAATGATATTATTTTTGAATGTTTTGCTTAAAATTGCAATAATCGCGATTGGTAGATTGACTTTTAATTATGACATATTTAATCGATAATACTAATGCAATGGTTGCTAATTCAGTTGTTTTAAGGTGCATGATTGTTAATGTTTCCTGAATAATCACATTGTATTGGAAACAAGTGTTGGTAATGCTCAATCCATAGTATTGGAAACACTATTGGGAATGGTATTTAAGGCTTGGCTTTCCCACTTCCTTGTTGAGTTATAGAGAACAAGGGGGACTCTCGCACGCCGCCGCCGTCTGTCTCGGGTCGGGTCGTGGTCGTGGTCGTGGTAATACGTGTCTTCGACACGTTCGCGCGGATACTATCTTTTTAGAGAAAATTCTTAAGAAATAAAATCTTTTTTTTTAACTATCACAACGAATTTGGAAAATCGCAACGACAACTGTAGACTATCGCAACAACAACTGTAACTATCGCAACGCGAAATGGAAAATCGCAACGCGATTTTCAACTATCGCAACGCGAAATGGAAAATCGCAACGCGAAATGGAAAATCGCAACGCGAATTTGCGATAGTGGAGATCGCAATGCGAATTAGAGATCGCATTGCGATTTTGTTGGTCATTTTCGCAAATCCAAAAAAAGTTGGTCAAAATCGTATACTATCTAGGATTTTTGGTCACTGAAGTTATTTTCTCTTAAAAATATTATTCTTTTTAAAGGTATTGAATTTAAGTAACTACGTCTACATAGTACTTATATATTATCTATGATTAAGAAAGATTCTAAACATATATTATCTTATAATCATATCAGATTATTAGAAAAGCATTTTAAATATCACTTAATATTAGATCAATAAAATCATTTTTTAAGATGATTCAATTAGTATTGGTATTATTATAATATAGAAGAATATGTGAGTTTAAATATGGAATATTTTAAAATTTTGGGTGAGCAAAATTTTAAATAATTTAATTTGATTTTAGTTCTTATATTAGTAATATTTTAGTTATATATAACTTTCAAAAGTAAATTATTTAAATGTATTTAAACCTGTATAAAGAAAAAGTCCACGTGGACTCTACAATTAGATACTTAAATAATATTATGAGCAAGTGGGCAACATGGCTATTTAATGCTTCTTTCAATTTCCAAACTTCCTTTCCATGTATCTTTGTTCCTTCTTCATTAATTGGATGAAGAAAGTTTTATATGATCAGAGAGAAGAAAACCTTAGAAATTGATTAATTTTAATTTTAATTAATTTTATAAAATTATGTTTTAAATTCATTGAATGGTCTAATGACTAAAAAAAGTATTATTTTCTTTTGAAATTTTAGATTATGGTGATATTTGTAGGTGTGCATACGTTATCAATAGCTCATAAAGATTATTAAAAAAAATACTCTTATAATGGTCTTGTCATTTTGGATGCGTTAAATAGTTAATCAATATAATTTTAAAAAACCATTTTTTTAATTTCATACTTAAATATATTAAATAAGATTCAACAACAAAAAAAGGAAATTGACTTAAAGTGTACTCAAATCAACTTGCTCTATTATCAATAGCTCATAAAGATTATTAAAAAAAATACTCTTATAATGGTCTTGTCATTTTGGATGCGTTAAATAGTTAATCAATATTAATTTTAAAAACCATTTTTTTAATTTCATACTTAAATATATATTAAAATAAGATTCAAAAAAGGAAATTGACTTAGTGTACTCAAATCAACTTGCTCTATTATAGTTACTAAAATACTTTTATATAATATATGATTTTCTATATTTTCCCCATTCTTTTCTTTCCTTTCATGTTGATTTCCCTTTTTCTTTCATTTATTTATCCTTTTTATTTTTGGATAAACCCAAATAGAGATCGACCGATAATAGTTTTCCAGATATGTTTATTTCATCCCAAATTAGAAAAAAAAAATGAAAGAAAAAATATTATTTTTTTAACATTTTTAAATTCAAACAATCACATTTGTACTGTGTGTATCAAATATATTAATTTTTTTTTCAAATTCAGAAACTATTTATTTCGAAAGATAGCTTAAACAAAAGTTTGAAATATATACACATGTATATCAGGTTATTGAATAATTTTTTTATGTAATTATCCATATAATTTAAGTTTTATATTCATAGGAATAATCGCATAAATTAAAAATAAAAAATATTAAGTTTACTTATCAATTATTTTAAAATTTTGAATATAATCAATTAACAATTTATCTAATAAGATGAGATTGTATATCCTATAAATAAAGATAACAATTTAAATCGTGATATTATAAATAAAATAAGTTTAATTAAAAATATAATCTTATTATAAACCTTTATAATATCTTATCTAGCCTAATAAATTATTTAATCAAATGCTAATAATTATGAAAAAAAATTAACATGAAACCTAAATATATATAAAAGTTTCGACATATGGTTCTTGCATTAAATTTGATTATTGAATAACAAGTAGATAGAAAAATAGCATTGTCTCCATCCAAAGAACAACAAACAAACAATGGCGACTTGATGAGGAATGAAGGCAAACCTAAATATTATAATTATCGGAAGAAAATACAGAATCAGGAAGTGGGGGAAAGAATGAGATTTGAAAAATCCAATCTAACAAAGTTGAGACACTCGTCATTGATCCAACTGTACTTCTCCGCATAAGGGTTCATCATCTTCTTCCTTGAAACCGGATAACGATCTAAACAGTCTTCCCATACATTTCCATTTTCCAAGTCTTTCATCACTTCCCAAACACAGTTATTGCACATAAAACCAGCTCCCAAGCTTATCATTAGGACTTTGTCACCTTTCTTAAGCCTCTTCTTGGCCTCCATGTACCCTAAAACGTACCACAGCCCGCCGGCCGATGTGTTTCCGAATCGGTGCAGCGCCATTTGAGCCGGTTCCATGTCGTATTCGGTCAGTCCTAAGCTCTTTCCGAGCCCATCGACCACGGCTTTTCCACCGGGGTGAATGCAGAAATGGTCGATGCCGGTTTTTAGATTCAAGTTTGTTTTTGATGATGATGTTGTTGACGATGATTCGGGTGTGGCGGTTTTTTTGTTGGTTTTATAGGCCGAAACGACGGCGAATCGAACAAGTTCCAGGGTGGGTAAGATTTTGGGGACTAGGACTTTGAGATTCATAGTGAATGCTTTTGCGGCAGCTTTTGTTAGGTTTCTAGTAAGGAGGAAACCGTTGTAGCCTTGTTTGTCTTCGACTTGTATGCAACATCCGTACGCTTCGTCGTTGGATCCGATGTTGGTTCGAACCGAGTGGTTTAATTTCATCAATGCTCGATGTTTCGAGCACGATTTGTTCGTTAAAAGAACCGAGCATCCACCCGATCGGAACAAACAATTCGACAACATCATCGAGTTCTCCTTGCCGCAGTACCAATGGGGACCGATCACTTCCGTGCTCACAACCACCGCGTACGCGTTCGCATAACTCTTAAATAGCTGTTGGACGAGATCGACCGCCACCATGCTTGCACTGCACCCCATACCGGACAAGCTAAAGGTCTTAATGTCGTCCCTCATCTTATATCGGTTAACTATTCGAGCCGTCAACGACGGCGCTGGAGAAAACAACGAGACATCGACAACGAGTATATCAATGTCGGACGGCGAAACGCCGGTGTTCAGAAACAGCCTGTCGAGTGTTTCGAACATGATTTCGTCTATTTCTTCGTAAGCATCGTTTGATGTAGGTGTTTCTTCTCGGCCCGCGAGCACATTTCTTGGGCCGTAAGTTTCTTCCCCGATACCAGAATTCACCATTGTTTGCAACAGAAACCTGTACTGATCCAGACCAAGATTCCTGTTCCTCGTGACGACTCTTACACAAGATTCGGTGTCGAGTTTCCTGTCGTCCGTTGCTTTGAAACACTCGTAAGCTAACATGTAACAACAATGGCTTCTCGTCTGAAAAACCCTTTTGTAAAAATAGGAAATAATGAGGGAAACAAGTGAAAAACATATTGTTGTGAACAACTCCATTGATTTTGAGAAAGAGTGAAGAGGTGAGCTTTAGTTGTGTAAAACATTCATGCATCGCTACCGCTATTTATATTAATACTTGTAACATTCTCTTTTGTTTAGTTTATACATAAAAATATATATCATATCTTGAGAATTTTATTTTGTTTTTTTACTAAAATGTAAAGTACTCGACTATTAAAAGTTATAAAATGATCCACTAACTATATTACACTATTTTGCTGAGCTCTCAAGCTATTAAAAGTTACAAAATGATCATCTGACTATTGATATGTTCCAAACTCATCATTTTCCATTAAAAAATTGATGGCAGTCTGACCTAGACGTTAATATGTTGATTGAGATATGATAAAATCTTATCCTAGAATTTCAAATGACTATACAATTGAAACAATTATGGAATCAAATTTTATCATATCTCAGTCAACACGTTAACGTACAACTCAGACGATGGTAAATTGTTTAACAGAAAAAGACAAATTCAGAACATATGAATACTCAAATAACCATTATGTAACTTTTAATAGTCGAATAACTTAATGAAGTAACACTCTATAGTTAAATTATTATTTTATAACCTTAATATCTAGACACAACAAAATAATATCATACATAATCGAGAGATTGTTTGTATACTTTATCCTTGTTTCTATTAAAATTACTATTTCAAATATTTAATGCACTAAAATTCCCAACAACTCTTATGTATTGGTTACAGCTGTTTATTGTAAATAGGGCAAAGCTCAACTTCTCTGGGAAGGTAGAAACCTTTTCTTTTACTTTATATATTTCTTCCTTCACGAAATTTAAGTCACATAAATGAGCTCACTTCCAAATTTGATTAGATCATGTTTATTTTATGATGTTTGAATTTGATTGGAGACAAATAAGATTATTTAAATTAATTTAATAAGTTTGGTTAGGCTAGGTCATGATCTCATACAAATAAGTAAAGAATTTATCTTATATATTTAATATTTATAAAAAAAATTAAGGGTAAATTACACAAAAGGTCCATTAACTATAGGATGTTGTTTTGTTGAGCCCTCTGACTATTAATAATTATGAAATGATCCTCAACTATAGAATGTTATTTTGTTCAACCCTGAATATTTAAAAATTATAAAATGATTACTCGATAATTTATATGTTCTAAACTCATCATTTTCTGTTAAAATTTGACGGTCGTCTGAACTGTACTTGAAACTATTGATTAGGACGATATGATAAAATTTAATTTTAGAATCATTTAAGCTTTATTTTGTGATTCGACTCTTCGTTTACATTATGCTATTGAGTCGATGCTTGAATCATTATGCCATCGTGTCATGATTAAAAGCAATGTCGATGCCAATAGACATAATTAAAATATGATTTTATCATATCTTAGTTACTAGGCTAACTCCAGCTCAGATGACTGTTAATTTTTAATGAAAATGACGAGTTTGAAACATATTAATTGTCAGATGATCATTTTGTAATTTTTAATTGTTGATGGACTCAACAAAACAATACCTTATAATTGATGGACCATTTTCTAGTTTTTAATAGTTAGAAAACTCGCAAAACAATGCTCTATAATTGGAGGATCATTTGTTACGTTTACCCAAAAATTAAATGATATTTTTTTTATGTTTACAGTTTATTTATATTATTTCCTTTTGATTTATATGAATAATAAAATTGATAATATATAAAGAAAATAGATTATTTCTTTTTTATGCATATGAATAATCAGCTTCACCACCTTTCATCGTGCACACCTTTTCAACACTACCCTTAACGAAATCGGAAATCCCAACTCTGCACCATCCTCAATCGCACCTTTTCAGCGAACCGCAAACCCTTCGCCTCTACTCTCTACCGCCATTATGTTGCGGAATACGGCTATCGGATAGAGTAAAATCGTAACTGATAATTTAAAAAAATAAAAATGAAGATAATGAAGATACAAATTTTACGTGGAAACCCCCTAAATAATATAGGGTAAAAATCACGAGCAATGGTAGAATAATTTCACTATGAGAAAATAAGATTTACAACTTCTCTCGATCTACCAAGGAGAAAACATTGACAATTCTCTCTTGATAAAAAAAAGGAGAAAACAACTCTCAAGAAACTCTCTAAATTCTCTAGTATTGGGAGAAAGCTATAATGATTTGGGATGGTTTTGAAGCTAAATGAGTTAGGCTATTTATAGTTGAAGCTTAAGGATTAATCTTGTAAATACCTTAAAGTTTTAGGGACTAAATGTTCATTTATCCCCTTTCCATTTTTTCAACAATTACAACTATTTTTTTGACTATGCACCATTCGGTGCCTAATTGTTGAAAAATTGCCATACCATTTTTTTTCAAAGTTGCACTTTCGGTGCAACTTATATTTTCAACAATCTCCCACTTGAAGATTTGATTGGAACAATCATATCTTCACACCATTCTTTCTACCTTGTACCATCATGGTGCTTACGTTTCTGACAGGCCACAAGAGGATCGACACCAAGTAAATTTATTAGCGTTGATCGCCTTCATCATGAAATCTATTATGTTGTCTTTGGTATGGATCTTCAGCATAGGGATGGCAAAAAAACCCGAACCCGACGGGGAAAATCGAAAACCGAATTAAACGGGGTCGGGTTCGGGGATGATAAACGAGGATGGGGATGGGGACGGGGACAGGGACGGGTTTGGTAATCCCCGCCCCGATTATCCGATTACCCGCCCCGATACCCGACCCGATAAATATTAAAAATAATTATTTATATATATATATATATATATATATATAATATTAATAAATTTAATTTAAATAAAAAATATATATTTAATTTAAATATATATATATACCCGGCCTAATACGGACCCAATACCCGACCCAATACCCGGCCCAATACCTGTTTAAATAACTGTTTATGCTAAACGGGGATACCCGTTTCCCCGCGGTTTTCCCCGATTACCCGACGGGGATCCCCGTTTAAATCCCCGCGGTTTTTTAAACGGGAACGCGTACCGGTTTTTTAAACGGGGATGGGGACGGGGGGACCAATACTCGGCCCGAACCCCGACCCATTGCCATCCCTACTTCTGCATATCTACCGTCCCTTCTTACACCTTTTCACGAATGAAATGGTACTGAACTCGTATGTTCTTTGTCCTTGAATGAAATGCTAGATTCCTTGCTATATGCAAGGCGCTTTGACTGTCACAAAACAAAGAGACATACTCTTGATTGTGCCCAAGCTCCTCCAATAGCATCATCAACCAAATTGCTTCTTTACTGGCTTGTGTAGTTGCTACATATTCTGCCTCTGTTGTAGATATAGCCATAACTGACTGCAATTTTAAAACCCAACTTACAGCTCCACCAGCAACTTTGAACACATATCCTGTAGTAGATTTGCTTTTATCCAAATCCCCTGCATAGTCAGAATCAATATACCCATTGATAAGTAAATTTGATCCTTCGTAACATAATGCAACATTTGAGGTCCTTTTAATGTATCTCAAAACCCTCTTTATTGTATTCCAATTCTCTTTCCTTGGATTCACCATATACCGACTAACCACTCCCACTGCTTGTGCAATGTGTGATCTCGTGCATATCATAGCGAACATTAAACTTTCCACTGCCAATGCATACGACACTCGAGACATCTCCATCCTCTATTCTTCACTGTTAGGACTCATATTGGAGGATAATTTGAAGTTAATAGGAAGAGGGGTAGAAATTGGCTTAAAATCTTGCATGTTGAACCGTGACAAGATCTTCTTCAAGTAATTCTTTTGTGAAAGCCAAATCTTCCTATTACTTCTATCTCGATGAATTTGCATCCCTAGAATCTTGTTTGCTGATCCCAAGTCCTTCATTTCAAATTCCTTAGCCAATTGTGCCTTCAATTCTTCAATATGATCTTTGTTGGGTCCTGCAACCAACATGTCATCCACATACAACAACAATATAACAAAATCGTTATCACCAGACCTCTTGAAATAAGCACAAGGTCCTGCATTAAGTCTGTTGTATCCAAGGCACATAATGAAGGAATCAAATCTCTTATACCAACACCTCGGTGCCTACTTTAGACCGTACAGAGATTTGTTCAACCTGGAAACCAAGTTCTTCTTTTCTTTTTCTTCAAAACCTTCAGGTTGGAGCACGTAAATCTCTTCTTCAAGATTCCATGAAGAAAAGCTGTTTAACATCTAGCTGCTCTAGATGTAAGTTTAATGTAGCACATTGCCAAGACTACTCGAATGTGTTAGTCAAACCACAGGAGAAAAGATTCATTGAAATCAATACCTTCTTTTTTAGCATATCGTTTGACCACCAGTCTTGCACGATACCTCTCCACTTGATCGTTACCATTTCGCTTGATTTTAAAGACCCATTTGTTACCAATTGGCTTCCTTCCTTATGGTAGTGGCACAAGGTCCCATGTATTATTTTTATGAAGAGCTTCAATTTCTTCTTGCATCGCCATCATCCACAGTGAAGCATCTGAGTTATTTATTGCCTCCTGGAATGTCGATGGCTCACCGTCCTCTGTTAAAAGGCAGTATGTAATATTACATTCTATAACATAATCTGAGTGCCAATTGGGATGTCTTCTTACACGATCTGATTGACGAGTTGTTGGAGCTTCACATAATCTGAGTGCCAATTGGGATGTCTTCTTACACGATCTGATTGACGAGTTGTTGGAGCTTCAGAACTCTCTAGTTCTTGTTCATCATGTGCTGGTTCTACTTGAGAAGAATCTCCTTGTTCAACCTCTTTTTCCATCTGTGTAGTCTTTGACTTTTCAGCGCTATCATTATCTTCTTTTCTTTTTAGCTTATCTTCTACAAAGATAACATCCCTGTTGATGATCACTTTGCGGGCAGTAGGATCCCACAAGAGATACCTCTTTACACCATCAGCATACCCCAAGAATTTGCATTTCCTGGATTTTGGATCCAACTTTAAAATTTCTTGGGAGTTGTACATCACATACACAATACTTCCAAATACATGGAGGTTTGAATAATCAACTAGTTTATCAGTTCACATCTCCATT